ATAGGACACACTCTGCCAGTGGGTTTCAGTTTTATTTTTGCTGACAACTCAGGATTGGTGAGACTCAAGAATCTTGGTCTCCATTCCAGGATCTGCAGGGGAGTGTGCTCTATAGAGCACAGACTATTCGGCCTATTTCCCCAAAGCCTGATTCCTTCTGCCCCATCCTGGTTCTCTCTCTTCTCCACTCCTAGCTCCTTGTCTTGTCTGGAGCAGGTGGGAATGGTCGTTACTGGAGAAGTCTTTCTGAGCCCCTACAGCCACGGGCTACATGATGCATGTGCAGTCACTCTGTGTGAATGGTGCATGCGCAGTCCAATCAGTACATGGAGCTGTGAGAGGCTTGAGGATGTTCAGTGAAGATGGAATCTTTAAAGATTTTAGTTGTTGCACTGCGATTTTTCAGAGGTTTATAACTTGGTCAAATTTGAGCAGATTCCCCTTGGGATGGCAAAAACCCTGACCACAAAAGCCAATCCCTGCAAAATTTCAAGTCTTCACTCCAGACCATGTAGGCGCTAGAGCTGTTTAAAGAGAAGGTTGTCAGAATTCTTTTAATATAGACAAAACAATGTATTTTTCTCTAGCCTCGTTGTTGGAAATGGCTCACCAGCCATTGGTTGAAATTTCCCCCCCAAAAAATTCAGTTTGAGGCCCCCATCCGTAATGGAAAATCTCAGTTCACACAGTTAACATTTGGCAGGATCTTATCATGGGACAGATCAGGCAACCTTAATGAGAGAGACAAGGTGGGTGACGTAATATCTTTTATTGGACCAACTGGTGAGGGAAGACAAGCTTTCGAGCTTACGCAGAGCCCTTCTTCAGGTCTCAACAACATTGCATACAATGTTAATACAATCTTAATAATAGACAGTACTACCAGCCCTGCCTATAATATTTTTAGGGGTGGTTATTTGCTTGGGTAAGTTTCTAAAATAAAAAAATATTTAGAAACCAGAGAGTATTTCCCAGTATTTAAAAACATGGTAGGTTTCATTTTAACTCAAAATTAATCAAAATATCCTAAGAACAATCTTAGCTACCCACGTTATGAATGCTCAATAAAATATTAGTACTAAATAGACTTTTTGGTGAAAAAAGGTCATGGTTTCTTTGTCAAAAGGACATTTTCAGATTTTGTCAGGAACATTTTTTTGCACTTCCTTAGGTCTCAGATAGCCCATTCAAATGACTTTGCTGGTTAATAAATGTACTTTCTAGAGGGAACAGAAAATTCTTACAAAGGGTCAGCACCCTGAAAAGAAAATGAAAATGGTCTGGCAGAGTCACACCATCAGAGTTCAAGACCATTGCAGCAATGAGTCTAAAGTGTGCTGCAAGGCCACCAGCAAGTCTGATTTCTATCAGAAATGACAAATATCATCAATCCCTGAGCAAACCTAACACTTGAAGAAGACATGATGTTTTTACTTTCTGCTAAATATAGTCCATTAAAAACATTTTGGATTTCAAAAAAATTGTTTACCCAAACATGTGAAATGAGACAAAACAAGCAAATGTAGGAAGAGCTAAATGCTTTGTACATTACGGCTTGAAAGCAGTAATTCTAGGCAGCTAAAAATGTGTTATCCAGCACAACAGGCGAATTACTTGTATGTAGACAAAAGATTTAAATGTGAAGACAGAGGAAAGGGCAGCTTTTGGAAACATTATAAAGAAAGACTCGAGCCTGTGATAGCTTGTATATAGGAAGAAGCATCAAAGATTCCCCTGATGCTACAGGCTTGGGATATGGGAAAATTATAGGAGCTATCAATGAATACAGCAAAGGAAAGAAATTCAGGAGGAATAGGAGAAGTTCAGTTCTGAAGAAAATGAGTGGGAAATGGCAGCTGAACATTCAAGAAAAGATTTGTCAGAGAGAAGCTAAAGTTGCAAGTTGAAACTTGACCAGGAGGGTCGCAAGGAAAGAGGTGAAAGAGAGGCAGGCTAGGCAGCAAGAACACCATATGCCTTAGGATTTTGGAAACATAGGCGAGCAAGGAAATAGGATGGGACTTAGAGAAGGAATTTGGATCAAAGGATGGTGACTTTTCATGACAGGAGAAACAAGAATATGATTGTAGGCAGTGAAAAATAGAATGGCTGAAACTAAGGGAGAGGGTGCAGTTTAAATGAGTATGAAAAAGGGAACAGATTGAAGAGACAGTCTGTTAAAAGAAAGGTCTCAGAGCTGGAAACAGGAGCAAAGGAGTAGAGAAAGTCTATGCTGCACTAAAAGACTTGCAGCAGTGAGTCCCAGAGCCCAGGTCAACTGACTTGGGTTTACACGGCATGGGCTGCGGGGCTAAAAAAAAACAAACAAAAACGGTGTAGGCTTCAGGCTTGGGGTGAAGTGCAGGCTCTGAAACCCTGTAAAGGGGGAAGGCTTTAAAGACCAGGCTGCAGCCTGAGCCTGAATGTCTATTTCTTGCCCCACAGCACAAGCCCCGTGAGTCCAGTCAATTGACCTGGTCTCTGAGACTTGGTGCTGCAGATTTCTCTTTGTAGTGCAGACATACCAAAGAGGGTGGAATTGTGACAGGGAAGAGGACAGATGAGAGCAGGACTGAACCCAATGTTTTTACAGCAAGCTGAAGACGTACTACATTCTGTAAGTGCTCAGAATGGTTATGTGTAGTGACATACTTCACAAATGGAACGGGGCACCTCCTCAGCTAAACTCTTTGGATTTAGATACTGAAATACTGCTCAGTAGAGAAACAAGGATCAAGTTCCAACTCTTGAAAAATCTCCTAAATTAGCAAACCAACCAATCAAAAAAGCAATTGTGATGGAGCTGGGGTGTTCCTAAAGTGGTCTTCTTTAAGGAAAAATTTATGAAATGTAAAGCTACTGTACACAATCAATCACCACCACTCGCCTTCAAACCATCTTCTCCCAGGTATCTTTCTATATTTGTTCCTCTCACCAACAATCTCTCTTCCCTGAACTGTTAGCGCATGACTTGTCCTGTCTATATTACACTATGATCCTACAATAGAAACTGACCTAGTTACCGTGGCGTAACCCCCTAGTGGATACAATTATACCAGTATAAGGGTTTGTCTATGCACACAAAGTTGTACCACTTTAACTATGCCAATAAGGTAAGAGGTATAATGCCCCCCTACTGTGGAAGTAGTTATGCTGATATAAAAGTGCTTATACAGGTATAGCCTTTTCCCAGAAAAGCAAAGGGAATAAGCTACACCAATATAACTACATCCAGATTAGGGGGCAGTACCTCTTTAATTAAACTGGTATAAAGATTCATCCCCAACCAATATAGTTAAATCAGTAGAAAAATAGTGTGTACAATAGGCCTAAAAGGAGAGATGAACAATTAAATGGTAAATAAAAGAAGCTTCAGTGAAAAGACCAAAAAAAAAAAAAAAAAAAACCCTAACCAAGACCAGAGTTGATAGGTCTGTGTTCCTCTTGCTGAACATCACCAAAAACAGTATAAAGAGCTGCTGTATTCGGTGCTTTAGGTTAGCATTATCATCAGTCACTCCCAAAGTAACACAGGATCCTCAAATTAAACTGGGGCTGGTAAGTAACAGAAGAACTGATTTGAAAAGTACTTTTCATTTGTGATTTTCAGATGTTTACCAAATTTTCTTAAAGCTTTTCCATTCACCTTTAAAAAACCAAAACAGACAGACATCGTAAAAAATTATATAGGAAGTAATGTATAATATCAGTTCTAATATACGTTTTTTTAAATAGCGGCAGAAAGTGTTATAGTTCTAGCTTTATAGTCAAAAACTCCTTTATAAATCACCTAAATAAATTAGGTTGTTAAAACTGGTACTCACTGCAGCAGTGCTGATGCTCACGCTTGGGACAACCCCATACAAACTATGCCAGCCATACCTTGCAAGATAGCTTGCCAAAAAAAGCGTGTTATTAGCCAGGCTTGGCTCAAACAATTTGTTGCCCACAAAGCTACTTTAATGTACTGTCTCTATTGAAAAAAAAAAAATCACAGTAATCCAACAATACATTACGATACTTTCCCATCACTGCAGCAATTCCCACCACAGGCCACACTTTGTCTCCAACAAAGAAGCCTCACATTCTATGTCTGCAAAAAACCCTATCCTGACTAGTACTGTTTTGATGCCAAGAGGAACATCTGTGTGCTCAGAACTACACAAAACTGGCTCCCCCTACTCCCCCAAACAATAGCTTGTGTGACCGCTTGGTAAGGAAATGCTCTTTCATTCCCTTCCTCTTCCCTTTCATTTTATTTAGATTTTAAACAAGACAGTTGAACAACGACATCTGTTACTATTAGTCCAAATACATTGAAAAGGGTTAAGTTGATCCTGCATTACTAGTTTTAATCTGGATTTGTTTTTATAATGAAGAACTGCTTTTGATATTAAGCAAAAACAGTCACCAAATAATTCAAACTCTCTGGGTCTTCTTTTCCCTCTATCACAAATTGTTACAGGACGAGAGTAGATCTCAGCCATAAAATACTGAACTACAGATAGTAAAAGGTTTCTCCTGACTTGGATAGTGTTGCAGGTTTCATCTGAGGAACAGCGAATGGTGAAATTTTAAAGAAAAAAAATAGACAAAAATAATGTAGACACAAATAGTACTGCTTGTCTGGATTCTGTGTCAACCACTTAGGATATGTCTACACTGCAATAAAAGACCCAGGTGTGGCTGGCCCGGGTCAATGGATTCTGGGTTGCTGGGCTTGGGCTGTGGGTCTAAAAACTGAAGTGTAGACATTTGGGCTCAGCCTGGAACCAGGGATCTGAAACCCCATGAGGGGGGTAGGTCTCAGAGCCAAAGCCCAAATGTCTACACTGTATTTTTTAGATCTGCAGCCTGAGCCCCTCAAGCCCTAGTCAATTGACCCAGGGGGTACATCTACATTAACCGCCAGATCGGCAGGTAGTGATCGATCCCCGATCGCTCTGCCGTCGACTACTGTACTCTACCGCGGCAAGAGGCGGAAGCGGAGTCAATGGGGGAACGGCGGCAGTCGACCCTGCGCCATAAGGACACGAGGTAAGTCGACCTAAGTTACGCTGACTTCAGCTACGCTATTCTCGATTCCCCAAGAAAAATCGATAGGTTGATTCCCCGCCCCAGTGTAGACCAGGCCTGAGACTCAGTGCCACAGGTTTATCATCAGTGTGGATGTACCTTGAGAGACAGCGCTGCCCAGTAGATGAAAGCCAGGAACTCTGGCTTGAAACCAAAGAAAGACCCACTGAGGCGAGTCACTTTTTACAGAACATCTTCACTAGGGATTTGCATGGGTAAAAAATGGTTCCCAAACTAGGGGTGCCGCTTGTTCAGGGAAAGTCCCTGGCGGGCTGGGCCAGTTTGTTTACCTGCTGCGTCCGCAGGTTCGGCCGATCACAGCTCCCATTGGTCGCGGTTCGCCGTTCTTGGCCAATGCGGGCTGCGGGAAGCAGCGTGGGCCGAGGGATATGCTGGCCACCCTTCCTGCAGCCCACATTGGCCTGGAGCAGCGAACTGCGGCCAGTGGGAGCTGCGATTGGCCGAATCTGCGAACGCGGCAGGTAAACAAACCGGCCTCGCCTGCCAGGGGCTTTTCCTGAACAAGCGGTGCCCCTAGTTTGGGAACCACTGATCTAGACAAAAAAAAACACAATAAAATCCTTTATGGAAATTAGGGGATACAGGAGCGTCTGGCAAGGTCTGATAGAAAAATATTTATTTATGTATGCACTCAGTGCCAGAAAAGAATGGATTATCACTTCTGAATAAAAATAGTTGTCTAATAAAATCACTTTACCTATAGAGGTAAATATATTTTAATCATTTTACATTTTTGGGTAAAATTGATAAATTTTAATGTATGCGTGTGATAAGAAGATAAACAAGCATAAACGGAAGATGGGTGAGGTAATATCTTCTACACTACACAAACAAGCACGAGTCTGGCCTAATATACCAAGTAGACAAGATTCCCCAGAAAGCTTTACCTGTATTCTTCTTATTATTCCTACTGACAAAGTCCTCTAAGTTGGCCCGGTAGCTGAACTGGGGCAAAATAGACAAAGATGACAAGTAGGTGAAAGGGGTAAAACAAACAAAATACTGAGAATAGGCACATGCCTTATTAGCTCTGTTTATTTATTTGACACTTAAGCTTTATTTATTTAACTCTTGCATTTACTTTTTATTTTCCACCCCTTTTATCCCTCTCCCCCGGCCAAGTTTTAGGTAAAGCTGATCCTCACTGATCCATTCCCTTGACTCTTTGCCAATCCTGCTATTTCCTTAACCTCTTACCCAAAAATAATCTCCTCTATCTCACTGAGTTTCTATTGATGACCAAAGATTCCCCACAGTCTCATTCGGTGAAGATGTCACCTCAGCTGTTGCTGCCACGTCCTGGGGAAACAGGGGTCCTGATCATAAACCACCCCCAGGACTGCCCTGTAATGGACTGAGTAAGGGAGGCTGCAGGATGGCTAGGTGGTTGTACTCCTTCCTTTGGTCCCACCTGCTACTGCTGCTGTACACCTGAAAACCTACCTACAATGTGTATGCCAGTCTAGTCCATTAGAGAGACAAGGTAGGTGTGGTAATATCTGTTATTGGACCAACTTCTATTGGTGAGAGAGACAAGTTTTCAAACTATACAGAGCTCTTCCTCAGGTTTGGGAAAGGTACATAGGGCATGCCTTCCCGAGCAACATTAAAGCGCTGCCGCGGCAGCACTTTAATGTGGTTTTGTAGTTGCTGCTCTCCCAGTGCTATAAAAAAAAAACACCTCCAAGAGGGGAATAGTTACCAGGACTGGTGCACTGTCTACACTGCCACTTTACAGCGCTGAAACTTGCAGCACTCAGGGGTGTGGTTTTTTAACCCCCCTGAGCAAGAAAGTTGCAGCGCTGTAAAGTGGCAGTGTAGACAGGCCTTAGAGTGTCACAGTTAAACACAAGGTGGAACAGATTGTTTAGCATAAGTAGTTAACATATATTTGAAGAGCCCATTCAAGGTGAAGTAGCCCATTAACACCTCTGCAGTCATAGGACAAAAAAGGGTGGTTGGTGGGTTATAGATTATCATAAGAAACCATAAATCAAGGGTCTTTATTAAGACCATGATTTTCTGTCTAGCAAAGTTATGAATTCAAGCTCTTTTGAATGTGAACTCAAATGTCAAATTGCAGAACTACTAACTGTAGTCTGTAACCTACCATTTAAATCAGCTTCTGTACCAAATGACTGGAAGATAGCTAATGTTATGTCAATTTTTAAAAAGGGCTCCAGGGGTGCAACCAGCAATTACAGGCCAGTAAGCCTGACTTCAGTACTGGGCTAACTGGTTGAAACTATAGTAAAGAACAATATTGTCAGACATCTAGATGAACATAATTTGTTGGGGAAGAGTCTATGGTTTTTGTAAAGGGAAATCATGCCTCATCAATCTACTAAAATTCTTTGAGGGGGTCAACAAGCATATGGACCAAGGGGATCCGTGGATATAGTGTACCTAGATTTTCAGAAAGCCTTTGACAAGATCCCTCACCAAAGGCTCTTAAGCAAAGTATCTTATCATGGGATAAGAAGGAAGGTCCTCTCATGGATTGGTAACTGGTTAAAATATAGGAAACAAAAGATAGGTATAAATGGTCTGTCTTCAGAATGGAGAGAGGGAAACAGTGGTGTCCCGCAGAGATCTGTACTGGGACCAGTCCTATTCAACATATTCATAAATGATCTGGAAAAAGGGGTAAACAGTGAGGTGGCAAAATTTGCAGATGATACAAAACTACTCAAGATAGTTAAGTCCCAGGCAGACTGCGAAGAGCTACAAAAGGATCTCTCAAAACTGGGTGATTGGGCAACAAATGGTAGATTAAATTTAGTGTTGATAAATGCAAAGTAATGCACATTGAAAAACATAATCCAAACTATAAATATAAAATGATGGGGTCTAAATTAGCTGTTACCACTCAAGAAAGAGATCTTGGAGTCACTGTGGATAGTTCTCTGAAAACATCCACTCAATGTACAGCGGCAGTCAAAAAAGCGAACAGAATGTTTGGAATCATTAAGAAAGGGATAGATAATAAAACAGAAAATATCATATCTTTATAAATTCATGGTACACCCACATCTTGAAAACTGCGTACAGATGTGGTTGCCCCATCTCAAAAAAGATATATTGGAATTCCAAAGTGTTCAGAAAAGGGCAACAAAAATTATTAGGGGTATGGAATGGCTTCCATGTGAGGAAAGATTAATAAGACTGGGACTTTTCAGCTTGGAAAAGAGACAACTATGGGGGGATATGATTGAGGTCTATAAAATCACGACTAGTGTAGAGAAAGTAAATAAGAAAGTGCTATTTACTCCTTCGCATAACACAAGAACTAGGGGTCACAAAATGAAATTAATAGGCAGCAGGTTTAAAACAAAGAAAAGGAAGTACTTCTTCACACAACGCACAGTCAACCTGTGGAACTCTTTGCCAGAGGATGTTGTGAAGGCCCAAGACTACAGGGTTCAAAAAAAACCTAGATCAGTTCATGGAGAATAGGTCCATCAATGGCTATTAGCCAGGATGGGCAGGGATAGTGTCCCTAGTCTCTGTCTGCCAGAAGCTGGGAATGGATCACTTGATGATTACCTGTTCTGTTCATTCCCTCTGGGGCACTTGGCACTGGCCACTATCGGAAGACAGGATACTGGGCTAGATGGACCTTTGGTCTGACCCAGTATGGCCGTTCTTATGTTCATGTGTTGTGCCTTTGAGGACAAGGTCTGAAAGGTCAGATATGGAGCAATCATTTTGTGAAAAGCATTCACCCATGCGTGACATGGTGTTTTTGTCTTTTATCATTTTTCTGTGCGAGTTCAAGACTTCAGTGATTGGTTTCACCCACACAGTTGTTACTGGGGTATTTAGTGCACTGAATGAGGTACACTATGTTTATGGCTTATTAGAACAATCTGTAACCTTGTCTCTCTAATATCCTTGGATCAACAAGGCTACAACAACAGTTTAGTCCAGGGCCAGCACTACACTGAGACTCTCAGTCATGACAAATTGTGGGGTACTAGTGGTCTTGGAATTTGACAGATACTATCACATCAAACTCATTTTTCTTGACACCAGATTTCCAAAGACTATTGCTATATTAGTTTACTACACATGGCCCCTCACATTTTTAGGTCTATGCAAAAACTGGTTAAAATGGGAAAGTGCTCCACCAATGACAAAGAAACAAGGACAGTGCTTGTTACAATTGACAAGGGATGCTATCTCCACCAGGATAATTTTTTCTTGTTCCAATGCTCTTCTTGTGGTCTCTTTTGTTAGATTTTCTTTTCTTCCTCAGTTTCCTCCAATCAGTTTCTCTTTTTCTGTGTGTTTGTCCTCATTCCCCTCCTACTCTTCCCTCTTCATTCCTTGCAAGTCTCCTTAGTCCTTCCTCACTATTCACAGTCTCTCACCAAGCATCCTTTTTGCTACAATCTATTCTCCTCTTAATCCCGGATCTCCTTGTCATTCCCCCCAACCCCAAGCACTTCTAGTATTAAGTCTTGTCTGCAATAGGCAAATTCTGAAAAATATCCTGTAATTACTGCCACTGAGCCTTACCTGTTTTTGCAATGTTGGGATCTCAAGTATACACCAGTTATATGCATTTAAAGCAACATATCTATCAGACCTGCCCTAACAAGTTTAAGCCCATGTCTACACTAGCACCTATGTTGGCATAAATGCTCATGCACGCAGCACTATGTCAGCAGGGGATGCTCTCCCACCAATACAGTTACTGCCATCGTTGAGCTGGTTTTATTATGTTGGCGTAATGCGGCTACATGACTGCTCTTACAGTGGCACAGCTGTATCGGTACTGCTGTGCTGCTGTAAGCTTGTAAGTGTAGACAGGGCCTTAGATTACACAGTGCTTAAAACAATAGGAACAACCAAAGGCACCTCTAAATTAGGGTTCCCAATATTGCCAGTGCTAGTGGAGTTGAGCTGATGCTCACAATGATGGATAATTTTGCAAA